TGTGAGATATTAGAGCGACTAGAGCGCGAATGGTGGAAAGGAAAGAGAACGCAATCAGAATGTATGTTTCATGTTTCAGACCTACATTTCAAAAACTTGCAGCTGGTGTGAAAACTAGGAGGGTCCGAGGTGTACAAATGCCTAAATTGTGGGACTGCAATGGAGATGAAAATGGCGCTCGGGAAATCTTTCTCTGGGCATTGCTTGATGGAGCCTTGATTCTCTCCGGAGGTCATGCAGGAAATAGTAATACTCAATAGTAATTACTATTGATGTGTTACAATTCATCCGAATGTTGTACAATATCCATTAGATTAATCCATATTTGAGAGAGAAGGGTCCACATGTTATCTCCATTCTTTCATTCTTTCTTTCTCCTTTAATCTCCTGCCCGAAACACATTCCATATATTCCAAGGCTATTTTTGCCACGGAAAACTTTCTTTCTTTAACATCGCCTACAAGCGCTAACCGAGCGCTTTCCTCACACCTTTTCGTCTATCACACATAGACGGGAGACCCTATAGAACTTCATTATTTAAAACATAAGATTATAGACATAGATCTTCTGTGAAGATGGGATACTTCGGAAATAAAATAGCAAGACTAGGTCTTTTAATACTGGTTTTATGTCTTCTGCAAGTTAATGGCCAGATTCAATGTTCAGACAAGTCTCCATGTCCAGAGTCAGCACCTTGTTGTTCAGGTTAGTTAGTGTCAAAGGCTTGAAAAGAAGGAAGCTTTGTCAAGTCAAACTTTCTTGCTGAAATTCCAATTAATGGCTCATAATAATGGGGAACGCTATTTAACTATGTTTCAGAGTTTGGTTATTGCGGTACCGATCGTTTCTGTCTTGGTAAGTGGCCGGAATATTAGCAAAGTTTTCGTTATACCATAATGAATGGTCGCTCACGCTCATTTCCCTTCATTAGGCGGTTGCAACCCTTTGCTTAGCTTCAAACCGGATTCGTGTGCACCGAACCCTATCTGTGTAAGCAACCTGTACACCTTTGATCAGTCTGATAAAGTACAACCGACCAGCGAGTATACTGGCGGAACGGATGTCGATTTCACTTACGAAGGACAACCATTATTTTCGGGCGGGAATTTGGTTATGACTCTTGCTAAAGGTACGCAAGGTACGCGTCTCTCGACTACAAGATATGTGTATTATGGTAGGATCTTTGCTAAAATAAAGGCGGCAAGGTCTGTCGGTATCGTGACCGCTTTCATGTAAGTAGGAAACAGATAACCCTATATAATATATAGTGGTTTCAAGTTAATGTATCGTTTACTGGTATTTCTATTTTGTTTAACACAAGTCTTGCTTCCCTTCAGCACCATGTCCAACATCAAAGACGAGATTGACTGGGAATTTCTCGGCTATGACTTGCAGACTGGTCAAAGTAACTACTTCTATAGAGGATTTATAGACTGTAAGTATAGCGTAAACGGCCATGTACTTTTATATGTTGTCACTTAAATATTCATACTATTTAATTCTCAGACACAAAGGGCGTTAAAGAACCGGTCGGAGGAAACATCTACACTGACTTTCATGAATACGGGATCGATTGGTCGCAAGACCAATTGTCTTGGTTGATTGATGGCAAGATTGTCCGTACAGTAAAGAAATCCGATACTTATAACAAAACGACAGGAAATTATGATTATCCTCAAACACCTTCTCGTATCCAATTGTCAATTTGGGATGCTGGTGACGGTCCAGACGGCACCAAACAATGGGCTGGTGGGGCAACTGACTGGAATGCTACAGACATTCAGTCGCCAGGTTATTTCTATGCCCAGGTCCAAAGTGTAACCGTAGAGTGCTATGGCGTACAGGGCGCGGGTGGCAATATCAAAGTGGATCCATCCTGGGGTACGGTGGACAACAGCGTGAACAGTTACGTCTATGACGCTAATGGAAACGTTACTATCACTAACACTAACATCACTAAAGTTACGGTTACAACACCACCAAGTCAAGGATTACCGCAGTCTTCTGACGAGAATCCAAATTCCATGCCAAACATTACTGGTCAATATGTACCCAATGTTACGGCAAACGCTGCTGTTGCTATCAGTTTCCCTGCTGTTGTTAGCACTTTAATTGCCACGTTCGCTACAATTATACTCGGCATTTTTGCGCTCTAAAGCGGATTGGTTTATCTATCTTGACTTTGAGTGACAAGCTGACGCCCCTTTTACTACTTTTCCTCTGATATCTTCCCTTCCCCCCCGAAATATATCCCTTTCTTCCCCTGGAGTGTGGGCATTTGTAACTATCCCTTTTCTAAATTTCGCATAACACAATCTACCACATTATTACCGCTCCTCATCTCTTCCTCTTTCCCTAATTTCGATCTGTACTGGCCGATATCCTAGTCTTTCATAAATGTAATAAAGGCTTAATCGTTATTGAAACTAGGAAATCAATTACGTGTATTCAGAAATAAGCATGCTCATTGATATTTAAAATTTGGCTACATTCTGCTTTAGAACTATAGTCATTGAAATAAACCGTGTTAATTACCATCAACGCATCCCCTGTTTGACGCTTGTTATGACAAGGAAGATTCATTAACGCTGTTTCATTACTACAACCTCACGTTTATTCTAATAGATTGACCAAACTAAATGGGCATTTGGAATTTAAATAAATAACTTGTACAACCTGGCAGGTTGTGTTGAACTAATTTAGCTGATGCATTAGATAAACTAAATATAAAGTTAATATTAACATTATTAATATATTCCCATTGTAATGTAACGGAAGAAAGTTGTCAACGCAGTAGATCGATTTAAATTCGTAAGCTTTTATACCCCCTTTTTTTCATGTAATCCCATATCGTAACAAGCAAAATTGATATATTCTGCGTCTTTTCTACTTTTGCAACAAGTTGACGGGTTGAAAAACATTATTACGGCGTATACTCTGTCAGATAACGCGAGATACGGCTTGTGTAACCTTGGTTTTACGTCAGTTTCCTCGCTTGTGCTGTTTCTTGAGATTACGCTCAACAGTACGAAGGTGAATGTTTGTTATTTTGTGTATTTCTTTGGCTGAATTGGTACCGTTGAGCCAGTAATGTTTAATTGTTTGTCTTTGGGCTTTGAGCTTCGCGTTAACCATCTTGGCTGATTTTTTATACAGTACATACAGCATGTTAAGAAAAAACAGCGGTCAGCAAAAGACTCGTTTTTTGTAATACATGAAGAAATACGCGTTATTAATAATAATTGTACTACAGACTTTTGCAGAAGATGGTTAGCGTATTTTCCTAAATCATGACGAATCAACAGTAGATCGGCGTACAAATAACAACAAAGTTTAGTCTTTCATGAAAAAAGTAGGCAGCAGAGCTTGTGTGACTGATGTCCAAAAGTATAAGAGTTAACAGAAATAAGTAGATACAATATAATGGGCTGAATATATATCTTTTTATTTTTTTGCATTTAACAACACTTGGGTATTTTCGGTATCTACATAACACGTCGCAAAAGAATCTGCGGGCGGATATGACCATTGTATAACGTATAAAATGTTGATTAATTATTGACTCTCATATACACTATTAAAAGAAGCAAATAAACCGTCATTACAAGTGAAATTCGAAATTTGATTCACTATGTTGTAAGTAATTTGCCTACACCCTGACCAACGTATTCGTCAGCACATGGAACCATTCTCAGGCAAATACATGGGTAAAATTTTCCAAATCGACCGTTCTTGAATGGTCAGAAATCTTGTTAATGCGAACAACGTAATTACACACGTCCGCCACGCCAGGCTGGTGCCTAGCCCTTTAATTTAACAAAGAGAATTAACGGGGGCGCAGCAAAAATACGAGCACATAAGAAATAGTAAACAACTTTGTACCATGGCAGGTTTGTTCTGACATTCAGAGTCCATTGCCCGATGTGATCGCCGTCTCTAAAGGTGAACAATGTACCCAGATTACCGTAATCAACCGCACCGCTTGCGATAAGACTTGCCACAATTGCGGCTGGCGTTTGTCCTCGAACGTTGAAGCCTGCTATATTCCAGTCAAATAGTAGCGCAGGCATTTCTTTTTCCGTCTTTATTTGTCGAAGAACCAAAGTAGTGTTGTGGGGGTCTTTAAGGCAAGCGGGTAATTGGTCCCGAACTATATGCAAACTATCAGTTAATGTTTATATAACTAAGAAACGCTTAATTACGATTTTTGCATACCTACGCCAGATTTTTTGGCTAGTTTCTTAACCTTTTTTTCTTGCACTACATATATCAAAACTAATTAGAAAAAGTGACAAACCCCATCCAGAAAGGGAATCAATACACACCTTTGCAACGTATGAACTGGACAACTTTTGACATGTTGGGAGGAGTTATGTAACGACTGTTTCCATCCATCCATCACTGAATTTATCAAAATAGGGTACGTAAGCGGGTTGCGTCACAAAATGTGTTGCTCCATCACCCAATGAGTTCAATAATGCAAAGTCTCATAGAACCAGTAATATTTCACTGCCTTATTACAGTGACCGAAAGCTACAGTACACATGACCTAATTTTAATGTGCCAAAAACTGGCCCGTTCACACCAACCGAGCGAATAATGTTGATTGTTCTCAACTTAGTGCCACAATGCTTGTATTGATACGTTTTCTGGTGAGGACGAGCTTCCAAGGCGGGCGAGGTCACAATCTTATTATTATAACAGTTGCGCCTTTAAATCATAATTCAATGATTCGTTCAGTATCGTGAATCATAGAAAATTATTCCTTGGTACCGATTCGCAATCTTTTCCAAGTATGCTCTTTTCGTAGTCGAAATACACAATTCCATACGAACGTAACACCGTAAGACCAATATTCAATCACCTCTCTGTTGTTCCAAATAGAAAATCTGTGTATATTAGCAAGGCAAGAAAAGCAGACGCGACCAAGTTCCGATGTTTTGCCACGTATTGCGCGTCGAGCATACGTCTACAACGCTTGAACGATCACTAATACTCTCGACTATCGCGTACGCTTTTAATTATCTTTGCCATCCTAATCCATAAGCAAGCCAAGCGAATGGCTTTGACGTCTAAAGCAATTTGCTTCCAAACGCGTCTTCTGTGCGCTGCATAGTATCTTTGGTGCTAGCTAAGCTGTATTTCTGTCGTCAACTGGTTCAATGTTACAAAAAGTTGCATGCATAATAATAAGCGCTTGTCATACTACCTTGCCAAAGTTATAGCGTCATCCCTCGTAATAACGTATAACCAGTAGACAACGGGTAATCCTATATGTATAATTTTATGACTTTGCAATGTTTATTAAGTACATTCATAGCGAACACTGATTGTAATAGACTTTCTAAATTCTGTACCAAAGCAATTCAGATTATGAGGAATATTTGTATTAGGAAATCTTTTCAAATATATAAGTTGACTACATTTTGTTTAGTAGACTGCTGATAGTTTTTTTTTTAAAAATCTCAAATGCAATACCAAGTACCAGTAAATACACACCAGCATTGCAACATGAGTCCACCTGTGTTCAAGAGCACTTTGGTTGAGCAACACAATCACAGCCTATTGCCAAAAATCAATTGCTTGTTCATATTCAAAAAGCCATTTTACTAATTTTCACATTCATATTAATATATACATGTAATCCTATATTGTATATTTTATTAGTTAACATCTTTCCTCAATGCTTTTACTATTACTTTATTTGTCTTCATGCTTTTTCAATTTCTATAAACATTACCCTTGATCCATATATGGTTAAGTGCCTGTGCTGCATTCATACATTTTCTCTTCAACTGTGTTGTCAAGTCCCTCCCTTCCTTTGACAAGTTATGAAACTCCTCCAACATTTTTCCAAGCTCATACAAAACAGACCATGTAGTGTACCTTCCATTCTCATCAAGTGTTCCCTCATCCCATTCCCTTAGCTTTTCATCTTCATCAGCTCCCCATCATAGCCACCATGTTCAAAATTAATGTACCCAACATAAAGTCAGAATCGGTCAAAATAAAAATGCTTATAAGTTACATTATTAGTTAGGATTGATAGCTACACAAAGTCTCTCAGCTCTTTGCTTTGAGGTGGCGCAGAAATTAGGAGGAATATGTCATATTATTTGCATTGGACTCACAGTTATCGCTTTGGATTTAAATGGTCTGCTTTTTCAATCAAATAATCTGAGAAATTTGCTCCTGCTAATAACTGCAAACAATAAAATATATATAGGATTACCCGTATATGGAAAATTACAATTATAATGGTTCGACTGAAAATGAAAAAGCTATACGTTTCTTGGAGATAGGTTGCAATTGTAGTTGTTCAAAATGATTCCGAGAGAGAAGTTTGCTGAATTACGTGAGGCGTTTCAAGCTCTCTCTAGATCTGAACAAGATATATTTTTAATGGCCCAGCTGAAAGCAATGAATGGGGGAGAAATAACGGCTAGTCGACGTCTCAGAAAGAAAACGCGTACTAATAAGCGAACGTTTTACTACTGAGATCGCAATACGCCACTTTGTCAGAAAACGTATCTTAATATGTTAGGAGTTGGTCGCACGCACTTCGAAAATGTCAGAAATCACCTAGCGACGAATGGTATAATACCGCGCATTCACGGTAATATCAAACGAGTGCCGCGATGGAAAACCAAAATAACCATTGATGTAACCGTTGCTACCGCTGTGAAGAATTTTCTCGATAACTATGCCGAAATTCATGGATTACCAAGTCCTGGTAGAAATGTCAACCGAATTACTCAATCGCTTACACTTTTGCCAGCCGAAACGAGTTAAAAGTCGGTCTATCGTGATTTTATTGCAGGTCTCGAAAATGATAGCGCACTAAAATTGTTAAAATATGATGCGTTTCGCAAGTTATGGCACCAATTAACGCCTTATATTCAAATAATGAGTATTTGTGCGACACTTGTCAGCATTTTCGGAATGGCTTACAGTATAATGCTTGTAAGGAAGAAGAAGCGAAAGATTTACTAAAAAAATTCAAAAAAACATTTAGTTAAGGCTAAATTAGAGAGAAATTATTACAACAAAAATACAAAATTAGCGGAACAACAGAGAAAATTAGTAAATTGAGCATTTTATAACAAGAGGTAAAGCTGATTATTGTAGTGTTGACGCGACTGCGCATTACAGTTACGATTGAGCTCAAAACGTTCATCTACCCCATTCCGATCAACAGGTAAATAAGATTTATTATCTTAGTCCGCATAAAGTGCATTTATTTGGTATTCAGGGCGAAGCAGTACGCGAGCAAATCAATTACGTTCTTGATGAAGACAAAATTATTGGCAAGGGTCCTAATGGTACGCTAAGCCTGATATTCGATGGAATTAAACGATTGAATAAAGGTGAGAAACATTTAAAGATCACTTGCGATAACGCGGGAGAGCAGAATAAAATAATGCTACCATTTGATTCTACTTGTATTTGGTAATTTGCGGTTATTATGAAAGTATCGAATTAAATTTTATGGTGCCTGGGCATACTAAATTCAAGTGTGATGGTATTTCGGACTGATTAAAAAGCTTTATCGAAAAACGACCGTAGATTGTGTAGGCCATATCGTTGAGATTGTGAAAAGATCAAGTACAGCCGGATTAAACAAAGCTCAGTGCTATGAAAACGGCAAAGGCTTTCAATATTTAGATCTTAATTCCGTGTTGGGGATTTTCTTTAAAAAATTAAATGGTTTACAAAAGTATCAGCATTTTGTATTCGAAGTAGCTCGACCTGGAATTGTCAAAACCCAGCTGGTTGCTAATAGTACTTATTATTATACGGAATTTAATTTATTAAAAACCAGAAAAGCAAGTATTTTTGAAATTAGCAAAGAAATTAAATCTTTTTCTATTTTAGTTTTAACTCTCCCTTAGATTACAAAGACAAGAATATCTTTACCAAAAAATTCGCCCATTTGTCAGAGATGAATTTAAAGACATTACTTGTCCACAACCAATTTATACTGGCAATGAATAAAATTATTAAAATAATTATATACTTAATATTCTCTCATAAAAAGGATATAATAATAAGTCAGAACATATATATTTTGAGTAAATTTAGGGTATAGTTCCTCGGGTGTTTTATTGGTGACTCGTTTTGAAAGCGCCTGCGTACATTATTGTATGCGACGGCTGAATTTTATTGTTAAAACTAGTATTATGTCAATCATACAATCAAACCATACGATACAATACATACGTCGTAATCTTGCAGATGAAGCATACAATACCATCAATCATATGGTAATATCACAGATACTGATATATAAATAGATTTCAGTAAGATTGCGTAGATCCGCTGTCACGTGTTTACATTTATCACTATACAATAGTATTTAATATGCATGTGACTGTTTGTTTACTCACACCTGCACAGTTGCAGTTACCTGGATATTGTAAAGTAAACGTAACAATGAGATCGGTGACAGTAATCGATCGTAAGGACAAGCGGTAGTACAGTCAGGGCTTTGTTGACGTGATCAGTATTGCACAGTTTAATTTTTGTATGTTGACTGTTCGAAATATCTAATCACAGCAAACAAAACATCAATGCGATGCTGACTAACGATGACGTATTTGCACGACTGCACAGGAAATTAGTAATTAGACAATAATGCAGATTGCGATGCTAAAAATAAACCAATATGTAGTCCGAAAAGATATATAAGCAGCATAGTGTGCAAGTCTTTCACGGACTCGTCGTTTGTTTTCAATTCTTTCTGCTAGTTTATAAACAAATTTCAACATTAAATCTTAATTTATTCCAACATGGATTACAGCGTGCTGGAGGGTTTTTAGGGCGATCAGTGACATTAGTAGGGGATGGAACGGATCGAATGCAAGAACTTATTGAGACTGCAGCAAAAGGAGCAGCTGTCTGTATAATAGAGGTTGGTTCCTATTCCGTTCACTATTTTTTTAAGTAAAAACTTCTTTGACAATAAAGGAATTTGTCAAATAAAAAAAATGTCTTTTACAGCTCGGGGCAGAAATAGATCCACCAGACACGTTCAAACTTGGCTAGACGCAATAGATGAATTCCAGAACAGAGTTGGAGAAGACAACGTCGCATTTATTCATGTGGTTCCTCTTTTACATTTACC